GGCTCGGCTATGCGATTCAGTTCGCACGGTCTCCTCCTCCCCGCTAATAGACCTGCACGTCTTGTACCAAACCCTTCACAGGCTTCCTTCAAAATGTTGACTGCCTAATGCATTTTCGAATGTGTTCGTCCGTTGGATTGGTCTGCAGCGATCGACCTGAAGGACGTGTACTTTCATGTCTCCATTCTTCCTTGACTCCATTCTTCGGTTTGCTTTCGAGGCACAGGCATACCAGTACACGGTTCTCCCATTCGGGAGGCATGGGCATGGCAACCAGGCATGCTCCGAGTACCAGTTACTCGGGCCTGCCGTCAGATTTTCACGCCGTGGTCGAACCTCTCCTTTCTACGGGCCCGAGTACCCTTAGAACGTGTTTCCAGGCATGTTGTTGTCTCAACAAATGCCTCCACCACGTGCTGGGGTGCCATGTGCAAGCGACAAGCTGCTGCGGGCTCCTGGACAGGACCCCAGCGCCTTCTGCATGTAAATTGCCTCGAGTTGCTGGCAGTAAGGTTCGTTCTGCAATGCTTCCCGGCGTTGCTCAAGGTCTAACACGTACTAGTCCGGACAGACAACATGGCCACAGTAGCGTACATCAACCGTCAAGGTGGTCTATGCCGTATGTCGCAACTTGCCCGCCATCTCCTTATATGGAGTCAGAAGCGTCTGAGGTCGCTTTGTGCCGTTCATATTCTGGGAGAACTGAACCGTGCAGCCGACGAGCTCTCACGGTTTCAGCCTCTTCCGGGGGAATGGAGACTCCATCCCCAGTTGGTTCAGCTGATTTGGAAACAGTTTGGCGACGCACAGGTAGATCTGTTTGCCTCCCACAACTCTTCCCATTGCAGCCTGTTTTATTCCCTGACTTATCCCCTCCGCACGGATGCACTGGTGCACAGCTGGCCGCGGGGCCTCCGCAAGTATGCGTTTCCCCCAGTGAGCCTTCTTGCACAGAGTCTGTGCAAGATCAGGGAGGACGAGGAGCAGGTCATTTTGGTTGCACCTCACTGGCCCACCCAGACTTGGCTCTCCGAACTGGTGCTCCTCGCGATAGCCCCTCCCTGGCCAAATCCTCTGAGGAATGATCGCCCTCGTCCCGATCTATGGAACCTACATGTGTGGCTTCTGGACGGTGGCTACCATCATTTTGACGCTAGGGCCCTGTCTACTCGACATGGCTATGCGTTGAAGTGGAACCTCTTCGTCACCTGGTGCTCTTCTTGCCGAGAAGACCCCAGAAAATGCCCGATCAGTGTCATGCTTTCCTTCCTGCAAGATGGGTTGGAGCAAAGGCTGTCTCCCTCCACCCTCAAAGTGTATGTTGCCGCTATCGCCACACACTACGATGCAGTTGAAGGTAAGTCTTTGGGGAAGCATGACCTGGTCATCAGGTTCCTGAGGGGGGCAAGGAGACTAAATCCTCCTCGCTCTCCTCTCATACCCTCTTGGGACCTCGCAGTGGTCTTATCTGCCCTGCAGAGAGCTCCCTTTGAGCCTTTGCAATCATTTGAGCTTAAGATCCTGTCTATGAAGACAGCGCTCCTGGTTGCATTGGCCTCCATCAAGAGGGTTGGGGACCTGCAGGCATTTTCGGTTGACGAAGCATGCCTGTAATTCGGGCCGGCTAATTCTCACGTGACCCTGATACCCCGGCCTGGATACGTGCCCAAGGTTCCCACCACTCCCTTTCTAGATCAGGTGGTGAACCTGCAAGCGCTGCCCCTGGAGGAGGCAGACCCAGCCTTGGCACTGCTCTGTCCAGTACGCACCCTCTGTGCCTATGTAGACAGAACGCAGTGTTTCAGGACCTCAGACCAGCTCTTTGTCTGTTTTGGTGGGAAGCTGAAGGGAAAGGCTCTCTCCAAGCAAAGGTTTTCTCACTGGATAGTGGACAGGGATGGAAATTAACTTTTTTGTCCACCGGCCACTGTGGCTGGTGGATTTCAAAATCTACCAGCCACTCAATGTTTTTACCAGCCACTTTCTTGTTTTTAACCGACAATGTGTAATTGCATTTGAAAATTAATACTACAAGAATACTTAAGCAGTTTATTTAATCTCAAGTCTCAATGAAATACTGACATTTTCTCTTTCTCTCACCCTCGGCCTCATCCACCTAATCTGTCATTTATTTTTGTTTTGATGATAATTTGAGCCAGCCTCCAAAAGTAATTAACCTGTCCTGTGATTTTTTTTCTCTCTCACACAACACTCTCCAGACACGGATTTATGAGCTATAGTATGTTGGTTGCCTTTACATTAGAATAATATTTAATATAATCTAGATATGAAATGGAATAAATAGCATTCAATACAAAATGAATATGTCTCATATATTGAAATCAAGTTTTATGTGATAAAATATTTGCTTTGTTGTGCATTAGAACCACATCAGGCATTTAGTACAAAATAATTTATTGAAGCATCCAGATACTTCACCACGTGACAGCAGCTAGGCTCCTGATTGGTTAACGCGGCGCGAATTGACGCCAAAGTTCAGATTTTTCAACTCGGGCGGCAGACGCGAATTCGCGTCAAACGCGTGAATGCACAAAAGCACTCAATAAAATCATGCGCGCGGAACGCGTCAGACGCTCGAACTTGCCGCACGAATGAGGCGTATTCGCATCTACCACGGCGCGCTCTACACCTCATTCGCGCCGTAGGAATTTTTTACGCGCGTAACGCGTCTTTGCATTGACTTAACAATGAAATCACTCGCGCCAGACGCTCTATTCTCGTCTGGTGTGAACGCACCATGATGTTTTCTCTGCAGACCTCTACGCCTGCGATGTAACGCCACATTTTTGTTTGAAGGTGTGCCTCCTCTAAAAGTGTCCGCCGTCCGGGTGAAACAGTATGCAATTTTTTTGATTTACCCGCCACGGTGGCCGGTAGGTGAAGCGAGTTTACCCGCCACAACACAAAATCACCCGCATTTGGCTGGTGGCGGGTGCTAATTTCCATCCCTGATAGTGGACCAGCAGCAAGGTCGACCTTGTCCCCTTGGGGTCTGGGCACACTCCACTCGGAGTGTGGCCTCCTCTTGGGCTTTAGCGCATGTGGCCTCGCTAACAGACGTCTGCAGAGCTGACACCTAACACATTCACGAGATTCTACAATCTCCGAGTGGAGCCAGTGTCATTTAGTGTACTTGCTTCAAGTAGCCGGTAACTAGGATCTGCTCAGGGTCATCGCTTGCTCGCCATTCCACTCCTTGGACTGGATACATGCAATATTCTCCTCAGGTGAGTTTCTCCGAGAAGCCCTGAGTTTCTCCAGCATGCCTGCTGCAGCTTTCGTGTTGGCTAGGTACCTCCATGTGCATGGTTCCCCCCCCCCCGTGGGCGACCCCCACGCGTGTATTTCCCCTGTAAGCATCTCCCGAGCGTGTGTCTTTCCCTTGGCAAGCCACCTTGTCACCCCTGGGGTTGAAAGATTCCACCCTGATGGCTGGATACCCCAGTGTTATCCATTTGTAGCCCGCTCGCGGGTCATATGTGTATTCTGTAAGTCCTCCCTTCGGGCAGGCATTGTGTTGCATATTTCCACTTAGATATGCTTCCCAGTGTACCTTGGTATTCCTGTGTTAAGTAGGAGTCCTTTGTCCATACTAGTCTCACGACAGGGAGCTCAGACTTACGCAGGGCACTGGAAGACAGCCGAGGTGGCGTGATTAGACTGGAAACCCCATTCGTCAGTTACTGGCGTAACTCGGAGTGACTCAACGAAAGGGAACATCTCGGTTACGTATGTAACCCTTGTTCCCTGAGGAGGTAACGGAGATGTTACGTCTCCCTGCCACTTCCGCTGTACCGCTGGAACCGCCTGAGTTCAGTCTCGGCTCCTCAGCAGGAAAACGTAACTGCATTTTGCCAGCGTACCTCCTTATTTACCCACGAGGGTTCCCTCCTCCGTTCCCTCCTCAGGGGGTTAGTAACCGAGACGTTACAGTTGTAACCGAGATGTTTCCTTTCGATGGAACTCTTGCATAATTTACAGGCCTTAGCCTTATAGCACCACATAGGAAACAAGACACCAACTGGTTTCTCCCGAATGATTCATCACCCAAAGGTTCATGGTAAGCCACAATGGCCACCACATACACCTTCAGAGTGGAGGGGGACAGTCCAGCAGAAAAATAATCCTAAAAGAACTTCAACACTGAACCAACTGGGCAGTTTATAGGGTTCAACCAGTGTTCTCTGAGCCATGAAGTGAAGACTCTCCACTTCAAGGCGTAAAGTCTCCTCGTGGAGGGAGCTCTAGGGTTTAAGATGGTCTCAACAACCTCAGTCGAGAGACCAGAATACACGAGTTGGTCCCCCTCAGGGGCCAAACCCACAGTTTCCATAACTCTGGCTGGGGGTGAAAGATTTACCCCCAGCCTGGGAAATGAGTTCCTCTCTGATGGGAATCTCCCAGGGAGGCAGTAGAGGAGAGACATCAGGTCCGATAACCATACTCAGCTCAGCCAGAAGAGGGCTACTACCAGTAGACGAACCCGTCCTGGCAAACTCTCTAGAAATGCGTACAGATGCAGCTTGGGTCACTTATGCACCAGAGCCTGCGGAGCTGGATGCATGAGGGAGAACCAAAGCAGCCAGTGCAGTGCGTCGTTTCCACTGATGTGAACAGATCCCTTTCTGTGCCGAACCTTCCCCAAATCATCTCCACCATCTCAGGGTGGAGTCTTTATTTTTTCTAGCTTATGAATGATGACAACACTATCAGCCTCTCAGAATCCACCTTGGTTAAAAGAGCTCAAGCATTTAAAGCTGCAGACGACAACATTTCAGCGCACGCTTACAATACACAGAACAATATTGTCTGCTGATTTAGACGCTAATATAGTTATCCTTATTCTTATCTTTATTGTTATTGTTCTTTCTTGGTGTGAACGGGCCTGAACAGACATGAACCACTAATTCAGATTTGATTAATTTAGTGACATAGTTTCAATGTTGCTGACATTTTGAATGTGTATGTGTGTATTTCAGGTCTCATCAGACCAGGTGGAGGACATACATTTTTCTGTGAAGCATGAGGACATGGTGCGCACCGATTCCAGTCGCAATGCGAGTCCCAGTGAGGGCACTGAACTCAGCAGCAGTGACCTGCTGTCCTTAAAGAGTGACACCCTATCTCTGATCAGTGAAACGGCCATCTCATGCAAAGTTAGCACTACACACACACACACACACAGTGTTTTATTTATTTTAAACCAATTACCTCTACTATCCAAATAGCTTCACACTAACAACCAATTCTCTCACTGACGACGTCTATGCCTTTTCCATTACATTGATTTCTGATTCTGACTGATCGAACTCCCGTTGCACGTGTCTCCCGCTATTCTAATTAGCATTAGCAGTTTCATCTTCGTGATCTCTTTTGATCAGAAACACCATCAGCTTTACTCGTGGATATGGAAAAGGAAAATATGCTTGACTGTGTTTTTGACAATTTGGTGATATTAACTTGGCGAAATAAATGATTTTGAACTTAAGAAAGCTGATAAAAATATATATTTATAAAACGGTTAGTTCCAATCCTTGATTCTGATTGGTCAATAGCTGTGTTTTATTCACGATAAAACACGGCTATGACCGCTTCACCCAACGGTTCTATGTATCACTGCACAACACCCCTAGCAACCACTCTTGACAACTTGCAACTTGGCAATCACATGCTTGATCTCATTGATATTGTTCATTAGTGTAGTAGAGTATAGATCGAGTAAGCGAGTGTACCTGCATTTACAGTAGACATAGCATTTTCCTTTAGGTCAGTCCTATATTCATAATAAAACAAATCTGTTTGAATGTCCGCTGCGATATCTTGGCCTTTTAACAGTGAAGGGGTTTTCCCTTGCCGATAGTTATCTGTCAGTTGCGTCTTCCTTCTCCGTGATCACAAGTTTGAGTCCTTTCAATGTAAAAGTCTTCTCTACTGACTGACTCACTCACAAAGACAGCCTTTGCCGCCATCTATTGGCGAAATAACGTATGTAACTTCTGTTGCTGTTTACGACCAGGGACTATTTTTTTCCAGCGGAAGGAAGGCTTTTAGTGATTTTACTTCATTAAAGTTGCATAGATACATATTGTTCGGCTTTAATATTTGTATTGTGTGGAAACCGTTTTATAAAAGCAATAAGGTACTCGAGGCTAGTGCTGTATCGTGAATAAGTCACGGCTGAAGGGGTTGCAGGAGGCACTACAGCACAGCCTCTCATACCTTATTGCTTACATAGGCCTATATGCTGAGGGCCAATAGAAAAACATAACCTCCAAATACATCTGCATAACCGCTCTAGCTGTCCCAAATGGCGCACTTCATGCGGACTTTCGGTCTCGCGGACTTAAATTGCGCGTGCTCGCCAAGTCTACGAGTCCGTAGGCCGTCCCATTTAGCATTTTAGCGCTCTGAAGTGTGCTCAGCAGCGCCCCCTTTGTACCCTTGAAGCGGTCTTCCGCGAAGCCCGCATAGATGCAGGCTCCACGCACTTTAACTACCCAGGAATCCTTGCGGAAGGCCAATCAGAAGACGGATAGGAGGAGATTTCGCTCACGGACAATTGTTAACATGGCTGAGAAGAAAATATTTAAGTGTAATTATCATTACGGTTTTCATGACAAGTTTATACAAACATTATGATCATCGACCAGTGGTTGATGTCTCAAACATAGGCTAATAATAGCGAGCTGAATAATACGATCGCATTATGATTCATTAAATAAATAGAACAGAATGTCAGGGCTTTACTGAGTCATATGTAAACACAACAACAATAGGCAGCATATTTCCCCGAACCTGTAGCTCCTGTCTATAACAACAATCAGACCGTCTTCCTGTTTCCGGCGTGACGACCGAGTCTGTCCCAAAAACACCTCTCAATGCGCCCTCGCGAACTCGCGCTAAGGGCCCTATAGGTCTGCACTACATGACATCACCGAAGTGTGGACTCTGAGGAAGTCCACAAGTCCGGAGTGTGCCATTTGGGACAGGGCCTCTGTCTCTCACACGCAGGCACTGATCTTTAAAAACAAATGCTGGAATGCAAAAATCCCAAATCTTAGCAACATCCTAACAACCTCCTAGCAGCCTCTCAGTACACTCTTGTAACTCCCTGGCAAAGTGGCAATCACCCACAAAATTAAATTCTGATGGTGAGTTTGTAATGGGTAAGCACATATTCTTCAGAAAATCTAAAAATCTAGTTCTCTTCAGTGTCACTGTTTTATTTGATCAAACAGCATATGCTCATCATTACATACTCAAGTGCATCTCTGGCCTTGGCTCATCATGTTTTCTCAGCTTGTCTTTTGTAATCCTCTTAGAGGCTCCTGCTTGCCCTGGCTCAGTGAATGTCTTAACCGTACAGTGAGTATGGTAACCCTACTGATGAGGTCAGCCCGGCCTGCCCTCCTGTGTCAGATCTTAGCACGTTTTTAGACCTCTTGATTTGGGTTGATCCCATGGTGCTGGGTTGACACACAGCCGGCTACAGCTTTAAGCATGGTTTGTTTGTTTGTTGCCTTCTATGGTGTCATACACTCTAATTAGGGGACAAGCTTGAAGGAATCTTCTGGGTTCAAGTTAAGTTCAGCTTTTTGGATAGCATGTAGCTTAATCTATATCATTTTTTTTGTATTATTATTTTTTTTTTTTTTTACAAAATGATACTACAAAATTTGCTAAATGACTTACTAAATTACAAAATTTATGACTATGAGTATTTATTACTAAATAATATTAAAGTATTTGCTTTTATTTTTACATTATTCGTTTTAATTTTAATTTTAGTTTACATTTTAGTAATTTTGCTTTTGTCATTTTTATTATTGTTTTTATTTAATATTTTTATTTTTTTTCAGTTAGTTGCCAAGGTATTTTTTTTATTTTTTGTATTGTCGTAGGTCAAAATCTTGAGTCTTTGATCGTCTAGGTTGACCCGTTCAGTGACGGTGAATTTTTAAGCGAACAGTGTGTGGTGTGTGTTAGTACACTCATAAAAACCTGTTTCCGAAATCCATCAGTCATATTAGTTTTTCAGTGCATGCTAGCCATGAGAGCAGTCACATTGTGGGAGTTTTGGGAGATTTCATCGGAGTCTAAAGGCCTGGGTATACTTTACAGGCATGGAACGCGGGCGGCCGAAGTATCATTTTTGCAGTGAATCTTAAGCCCAATACTTCGGCTGCCCGCATTCGATGACTGATGGATTTCAGAAGCAGTTTTCTATGAGTGTACACACACACACACACTGTTCGAAATCTTGCAGTGCCACAGAGCATAACTCGCATTATCACATCATATTTGTCCCAAATCATTGTTAATGTACATAATGTTTTATATCAATATAATATGAAATATCATAAAGTAGATTAATGGCACTCATTAACGGCACTTAATTATACATTTTATCACACTTTATATAGTCTATCTCTTTATGATCACATCGTACAATCTGTTATTATCCTTTTTTGTCTTCTAATTGCATTATCTTAAAAGATTAAAACAAATTGTACAGTGTATTGCTGTACCGGTCTCGTTCTGTTTTGGTTTCGTCTTTAGTTTCCTGTTCTGCTTTGCCTGAATTCTGTTTGCTAGTTCATTTCTATGGGGTCTGATTGGATTATGTTCACCTGTTGTTTATTTAGTTCTGTGTATTTTAAGCCCTTAGTTTCCTCTGTTCATTGTTCAGTCTCGTTTTTGTTGGAAGTTGTTTTGTTCAATGTGTTTGATTCCTGTATTTTCCAAGTGAAGACTTTGTTATTGTATTTCCTGTGCCGTGCGATTATTACAGCCACCAGCAACTCGGAACAATAGCAGGCTTTACATAGGAAAACGTCTTGTAATGCGATGACATCCACGATGACATCCCCACTAACATCCTGCTGAAAGACAATATTATGACCGCCGTGGTAGTAATCTAGGCTGAAACAACATATATTCTTCCTTTATCCTGTGATTTCATGCTTATCAAAGCTTGACCTCACTGCCACTTCTAGTAGAAAGAAGTTATGTTTTTTTTTTTACCATTCCAGATCAATGGCCTAAACCGGCGACTCCATTAAACTGTTGGTGTCAGGTAGAGCCAAGTATTTTTCTCTTAACAAAAACATCTGTGTTTTGCCATGCCACCTTCAATACACATAATATGTAAGAGATAACACATTACCAAATGAGAAAATGGCCCTACTTAAATGACTAGCCAGGAAACCGTTGTTGCTCGCCTCTTTGAACAAGTGTAGTGAGAGGTTTTCGGGTAATTCCACTGACCTTGCATGCCGTTCTCACTTTGACAATGCCAGGGAACAGTGTGGGGCAAGAGATCTTTCTCTCACAGGCAGACGGGATGTAAATGGGAGTAAATGGGTTTTTCATTTCTAAATGCCGTCTGATAATAGAAGTGGGTGGCATGTCAGATCACACACATATGAGCCTCTGTTGGAGATAAGGCCATTTGTACAAGAGGAGTGTGTGTGTGTGTGTGTGTGTGTGTGTTATCTTCACCCCTCTGTTACCGCAATTTCTATTCTGTTCTTGAAAGACTCATTTGAATTTCATCATCATAACAGCCCTATGCTCGAACCTCAATTAATATGTTAATGTTGCTGTGCAAGCTTTTTAATTAGTATAAGATGAATCACATTGCATTTTGGGGGCCTGATTATCGCTCTCAGATGCTTTGGGGATGTTATTTTGTTTTCACGTGACGCTCGCCTGGTAATGGTATTGTTCAGGGTAGAATTTCCGAGCTTGATGTATTTAATTTTCTAAATAGTTATGGTTTATTCCTAGAAGTCTTCGGTAGAACCTCTTGACTGATAATATATCAGAGTTCATAAAATCGGTAGCCTAGTCATAGTACTCATGTTTTTAAATCTGTAACTTTACATTTTTTATTTGCTTACACCAGCTTAGACACTTTATTATTTATTACTTAATTGTTTACACTAAGAAAATGAACTGGATGGAACCTAAAGGATGGATATAAATCATTATATAAGTTATTGTCATCGCTCACTGAAGGATTGGGAATTATTTTATATTTGTCCCATGTTCATTTAATTCACATTAAAGGGGTCATATGATGGTTTTTAATGTTTTCTTTTTCCTATTGTGTAATGTATCTGTGCATGTTTGCAAAGTTACAAAGCTCATAATG